CTACATATACAGAAGGCTCTGGTGCCACCATCATCATCATCACCCTCCTCATTTGCTGACCTCTCCATACTGTCCTCCCCTAGAAAAGCAGACCCTGACTGATTTTGATATAAAAATTTTTGCACAAATTCAGGGACATCATAGACTCAGATCTGTTGCAGAACTCAGGTAGAAAGTGAAACAGTTGAGTGCCCAAGATACATGAAAACATATGTCCACAGAGAAACTTGTCTACACATATTTATAGCAGCATTTTTCATAATAGTCAAAAGGTGGAAACAAGTCAAGTGTCCATCATTCATGGATGAGCAGACAAAGTGTGTTATCTACACACAAAAGTTTGTTATTGTTATTTAGTGCTGTTGCATGGGTTCCAACTCATAGGGACCCCGTATAGAGTTTCCAAGGAGCAGCTGGTGGATTTGAATTAGCAACCTTGCAGTTCAAACTGACCTTGCAGTCCAGTGCTTATCCTACAGTGCCACACCAGGACTCCTCAGTCATAAAAAGGAATGAATCACTGCTGCATGTTACAACTTGGATGGACTTTCAAAACATTGTGCTTAAGTGCAAGAAACCCGATATAAAAGGCCACATCATGTCTCATTCTTCTTATAGAGTTGTGTTGTTAAGTGTCATCGAGTCAGCTCGGACTCATAGCAACTCTATGTAGTTAGTGTTCCCAAGGCTGTAAGTCTTTGCAGAATCAAAAAGCCTTCTCTTTCTCCCTTGAAGCAGTTGGTGGGCTCGAACTGCTGACCTCGTGTTTAGCAGTCCAGTACTTTTCCTAAGGCGCCACTGGCACTCCTGATCCCTTTTGTCTGACTAGACAAATCCATGGAGACAGGCAGCAGATGGCGGTGGGGTGGCGAGTGGTTAGTTAAAAAGTCTAGAGCATTCTTCTGCAGTGATGAGTGTTAGATCTTAGTTAGAGGAGTTGGCTGCTCCACTTGAGACTGCAGTGAATTCTATGCTGTGTGAATTTCACCTCAACCAGAAAAGGAAAGAAAGGACTTCCAAAATACCAATTCTTATGGCTATCAACAGAGATGGCATAATCATCATATGTTGGTGGAAATGAAGGGAGGCTGGAAAGGTTCAGGGATCCTTAGCAGAAAGCCCAGGCATTCCCTCCACTTCTCACAGACTCATGTTGTCATTCAGTGAAGGATGGATGAGCTCACCAGCCTCCATTCTTGGTCCAGGGATTAGAGGGAAGGATCCAGGGTCTCCACTTGTCGCCTCGCTTGTTTAACTGGAGCTCAGTCCACTGAGGAAACTGTCATGCTAGAAATGACAACTGCTGTTCCATCGTTCAAAGATACCTCAGTTCATGGAAAGAGAGGGACTGAGTGCTGGCGACCAGGATGCAGGCTTTCAGAATGTGCCCTTTGGTTGTTTAAATGATTATATATTCTTGAGTTTTTTTTGTGTACATTCCCCCCCCCCACACACACACAAAAAAAGGGGGAATAGAAGCAAATACTGTTGAATGTGATAATGACATAAGGATACGCAGAGGAGATCATAATCATTGCAATGAAAACAATGAGTGTAAAACCAATGTTAAACTCTCACTCAGTTCACAATAAAAACTTCAAAACAAAACACCAAAGATGCCTCAGTACCAGAGGATCCTCAGAGGGACAGCCAACTTGTCCTCACCCAAGGCTGACCCAGATGTGAACAAGTTGCCCTCTAAGTAGCATGAGGGGCACAGCAATGGAAAATCATTTCATAATGCTTTTGGTGGTTCTGGATGCTGGCATTCCATTTCCAGAGGTCAAATGGTCACGCAACAAAAATGAAATGAAAACAAAAAAACTTACTAGGGGCTACTGACGAGCTCTTTTCTCATTCTTCTGATTTAGGCCATCTCACCGCCCTCTGTGTGACAACTGGAGCAGATGTTGCCCCAGATGTGAGCCCCCAGAAAGTCCCATCAATTCCAACTGACGGTGACCCTATGTGTGTCAGGATTAAACTGTGCTTCATACAGCTTCCAATGGCTGAAGCAGATCTTCCAAGAAACCTCTGGGTGGATCGAACCTTCAACTTTTCAATTTGCAGCCAAGCGCATGAACCATTATGCCACCAAAGGACTCCGGCACAATGCTAAGTGCTGTCTTTGGTTTGTGGGTTTCAATTCGATATTTTCGTGAGTAGACTCTTTGTGTTAATATTTCAGTATGGACCTGACCTACGAGGACCTTTGCTGAATGTGATCTTTAGCTGGCCTTACACTATGGTGGTGGTGGTGGCTGTGTGCCGTGGAGTCGGTTCAGACTCATAGCGACCCTGTACAGGGCTTCCTAGGCTGTAAATCTTTACGGGAGCAGAACGCCTCATCTTTCTCCCATGGAACAGTTGGTAGTTTCAAACTGCTAACCTTGAGGTTCATAGCCCGATTCGTAACCACTACGCTACCAGAGCTCCTTGGCCTTATGCCATAGTCACTAAGAATTCTAGTAAGAGTCCTTGCCCTCCAAGAGCTCACCATCTGAGCCTTAGAGTTTGAAAATAATTGGTACTCTCAGCATTGTTAAAACATGTAGTACATCATATGGGGGTAGACTGGAATGCATATCAGAATTCCCTACATTCACATTTCTTTTTTTTTTTTTTGATCAGGTGTTTGGTATTATAGGTATTAGTCACGTAATACCAATAACAGCTCTATTCATGGGGCGTATTCATAAGAGCACCATTTTGCTGAAGAGGAAACTGAGGCACAGAAGGTTAAACAGCAAGTGCGAGGCCCCCTGGCTAGTAGGCACCCAAAACAGATAGCCTAGCTCCAAGGTTTGGGTCTATAGGAATCCTAGTCAGTGTTACCCCCGCCTCCCCACCAAAACCTAAATAGCCAACCACAAAATCCCGAATGTGAATGAATTGAGAAGATTTTAGGCCTAGTACAAAAAGCTGTATTTGTAAACATTATCTTATGGGAAGAGGCAAGAGAACTAGCTAATCTGTGTTGTGGTTAAAGCATCTGAGTAAATTTTATTTTATTATGCCACAAGAACCCAGTCCTGGGATTTTCTGCTTCTACTCCTAACTTTGTTTAGGTTTAATTGGAAACAGCAATTTCAGGTCATTTATTTTGCGTGAGTAACAGGGTTTTAGGCACACTAGTTGTAGTGAATGGTTGTAGAAAAAAAATGATTTTTTTCTAAACATGCAACAGAGTTTGGGAACATCTTTATCATCCTCTGTGAATCATGGGCTGCAGAATGATACAGTTAGTAGCTTAGGGGTCAGACCTAGGTTCAAACTCTGCCTATTCTTATATGTTTGTAAGCAACGGTACTTACATATAAGTATAAAATAAAGTGAAATAATATATGCAAAGGACTAATCTCAGTGCCTGGCTTGATATCTGTTGTCAATAAATGCCTGCAGTATATTTTCTGACTGCCTTTGGGTTGCTCAGCACAAGGTCCGAGGCTGAAACCCCCCACCTTGAGATGAGTCAGTCTGCTCCTGTAAAGACTTACAGTCTGGAAAACCCAAAAGAGCAATTCTACACTGCCCTATAAGGAGCTCTGGTAGCATAGTGGTTACGAACCGCAAGGTCAGCAGTTCAAAACTACCAGCTGCTCCGCAAGAGAAAGATGAGGCTTTCTGCTTCCGTAAAGATTTACAGCCTCGATAACCCTGTTCAGGGTCACTTTGGGTCTGAACCAACTCGACGGCACTTAACAACAACACCACACTGCCCTGTAAGGTCTGAATCAGAATTGACTCAGTGGCAGAGGTTGGGACTGATCCCGAACTATAATCCTCTAAATCTTTGTTCTGAGATTCAGAAGAAAGGGAAAAGAGATTCAGTTAATTACTTGTAGAAACTGCCCTAAGGATACTGAGTCTATGTAAAAATTCTGGGTGTTCCCTACATCTTCAGTTATGAAATTTCTGTTTAAAACGGTGCCAAAACATGTTCAAATATGAGTCTGTGTGTCCCTGGAATTGGGTATGTTGACAAAAGAGGACGTGTTCATCAGAATTTTCATTTTATTCCCCTTTCTTTTGAGAAGAAATAAAAGGGCCCATCTGAATAGGGAATCAGGGGCAAAAGAACCTCTCTGCGTGCATTTTAAAATTTTAGCAGCTGTTTATTTTTACTGCTAGCTACTGCAAAGTCGTTTGAACTGCACGATTGGCGGTTCAAGCTCACCAGCTGCTCCTTGGAAACCTTATACAGGGTCGCTATGGGTCGGAATCGACTCGACGGCATAACAACAACACCCACATTATTTCTTTTTGATAAGCCATTCATCAGAGGGCTGGTCTGTGCACCTATCCTCACCAGCAAAGTAAATTGTGAGTTTTCAGTAAGAATAAGCCCGTTTTGCTGACCCAGGGGGAAATAAAGGCCAGATAATTTGCCCAGTCTAGTGGAACGGCCTAGGGCGGGCAGTAACATCTGGATTCCAGTCTTCCCTTGGCCTTGAGCCAGGGTGAGGGTGGGGTTAGTTAATGAACTGGGCCGAAGAGGGAGGAGTCCCTGGGTGCCACAAAGAGTTGAGCTCTCACGGAGTAGCTGAACTGTTGGCATTTTGAGCCTACCCAGAAAGGCATAGGAAGAAGGGCCTGGCGATTTCTTCAGAAAGGTCTCAGCCTCAACAACTCTACGGACAAGTTCTATTTTGCACAGATGGGGTCACGGTGAGTCGGCATGGACGCCAGGGAAATTAACAAGGGAGGGGCTCCTTCTGCACTCTTATAGCAGGCACCTCCCTGCCCCATCAACATCCAGGCTTCCCCAGTTCCCACTCGGCGGGTCCAGTGCTGGGAGTTGGAACCTGTGCAGGTGGAGTTCCCGGGAGGCGGAACCCTAGAAGCAACTGCCAGCTGGCTCCGGGCCCGACGGCGCACGGAAGCCCCGCCCCCGCCCCGCCCCGCCGCGGGGAAGCTAGCAGGGCGCGGGCTGGCGAGCGGCGGCGGCGGTGGTGGACCCAGCACAGCCCAGCTCAGCGTCGCGGCAGCGCGCGGCCGGCATGGCGGCGCCGAGGAGCCCCCTGCGGGCGCGCGAGCGGGAGCAGCCTAGCACCTCTGCCACAGGTGGGCGCCGGGACTGTGGGGAGAGGCCGGGGGCGTCCTAGGGTGGCAGAGTTGGTGGCGTGCGTTGCGGGAAGGTGGGGGGCTGGCGGGCGACATTGGGGGAGCGCTGGCACCAGCGTGGTACTGTGCTGTCGGAGGATGTCGCGCACACCTTCACAGCGAGCCAGACTCGCGCGTTTTTCTTGTATTTATACAATTGCATCAAGGAACCAGAGCAGCAGCCGGGGGTGGTGGGGAGGGACAGGGCCCGGTAGCAGGTCCACTTGGGCAGGCAGGGGTGTACCCCTGTCTGAATGTCTCCTGGAAGAGACCTGTGCTGACGAGGTGCATGTTGCTGTCTAACCCACCCTTTCAGTTCTCCCACCTGCAGGGAAGACCAACGGCACTGCTGCTTAGGTGGGGCTGGAGGGTCAGCTAGGGGTGTGTGAACTTTTGAAACAAACACACGGGGTGAGTTCCAATTATTGTTGGTACTAGTTGCTATAGTTAAAGTAGCTTCTTATTGGTGGTGACCCCAACTGTGCAGAATGGAACCGCTCCATAATGTTAACTGTTGTGACCTTCTAGAAACCAATCGCCAGGCCTTTCTATTGAGGTGCCATTGGGTGGGCTCGAACCGCCAACCTTTTGAGTAGTTGTTTACCGTTTTATTGTTTCCAGGGTCTCCTGGCCTTCAGGGAGTGCAACACTTATGGGAAGTTGGCAGATGTTAGGAATACTTCCTTATTGTTGTTTTGGGTCTGGACAGGGACTTTTGATTCCAATTAAAAACTGATGTCATTAGAATGGACACCATTCTGGGAATCAGGACAGGAGACGTAGACATCATTTTGCCCCAAAGTGTGCGTGTGTAAATCACAGTCACTTCGGACCTCCTTTGTTGTCCTCGTCCATAAAATGAGGTGGTTGTGCGAGCCCACCCATAAAGCCCCTCCCAGTCTCCTCTGTGATTGACTTACTCTCATGTTCAAAACGGTGGCGGCAGATGAACTCATTTTCCAACCTTTCTACATCTTGGGTTTCTATAGAATTCGTCAAATATTTTCTGTGGGTGTATTCAAATGAACTTTTTATTATGTTCTTTTCTTCCCTTTGCTTGCTCCGCCTCCGTTTGGCAGGGAAAGGGAAATTGGGAAGGGAGGTAGGGATATGGAAAAAACTGGGCTGGGAGGTGGAAAGGGGCGATGCTAGTGTGAGCCCAGTAGCTAGGAATGTTCCCTTCCTCACCCGGCACATAGCGTGCCAGCCCATAAGCCTCGGGAGAGAATTCTTCCTGCTTCCCTAGCCAGTGGGGTCTGCAATTCACGTGCCACCTCAGAAGAATGTGATGCAGGTTCAGGTGATGGAAAATTTTTCTCCCCAAAATATAATCTGTGTGGGTTAGGGAACATACTTCCCCTTCTTTACTGGTTATGTTTAGCCAAAACAACAACAAAAACAGTTCTCAAATCAATCGCCAAAGCTAGGGGTGGGGGATGGTCTTTTTATAAAGCCCCTAATTGGTGACTTTGTAGGATAAGCACTGGACTGCTAACCATAAAGTCAGCAGTTCAAATCCAGCAGCTGCTCCATGGGAGAAAGATGAGACTTTCTGCTGCCATAAAGATTTACAGCCTGGGAATCTGTGCACTGTTGCTATGAGCTGAAATCTACTTGATGGTAATGAGCTTTAACTGTATTGGAAGGAGTCGTGGAAGCTCAGAATGTACCAGCTGTTCCATGGGAGGAAGATGAGGCTGTCTGCTCCCTTAAAGATGTACAGTCTCGAAATCCCTATGGAGCGGCTCTCTGTCCTATACAATGGCTCTGAGTCTGAATCAATTTGGTGGCGGTAGCTTAACTATTTTGGGAAAAAGCCCTCGTGGCACAGTGGGTAAGTGCTCTACTGCCAACTGATAGCTCAGTAGTTTGATCCCAGCAGCTGCTCCTCTGGAGAAAGGTGAGGCTATCCGCCCTGGTAAAGATTTCAGGGGCAGGTCATTATGAGTCAGAATGGACTCCGTGGCACACAACAGCAGTAACTGGTTTGGTAAAAGAAAACAAGATTTACTTTTGAGATAATAGTAACAAAGTAACACTTAACCATTTTTTAAAAAAACAAATAGACAACCGTGGAAGAAAGCCCATAGCATCTGAGCCATTTGTACGATTTCTTTTTAAACATTTGGCTTTAAGAATCTGGGCCAAACATGTGGGTACAGAAGGATTGGTCAGACATTGTGAGAGTCTGAAAAGCGTTTAGCCCAGCTCCCAGAAGCCCAGAGGGAACACTAACAGAGGGTGCACTCCCTGATGCTCAGCTCTCCTGTCCATATGTGTTTGAGAAGGAAGTGTGTGCATCACACAACTTCCAACACTCCGTGGGCCATCAGTCAGTCACAGACCCTCAGCTGGGTGGTCACTACCACCATCCACCTCACTTGCTCAGCAGTAAAGTGAGGTGAGAGATGACAAGGGTGGTTTGCAACCCTGTTCTTAGGAGTCCTAGGGTAGCTATGTGGTCCCCAAAGGCCAGGCCAGAGGGGACACAGGAATGCCCAATGTGACAGAGGATGGGGTACCCAAGAACCAGCACCGCCCCCCAACTCCAGCTGTCCCCAGCCCAGCTCTGCTGCACTTCCCTTTTATTGTGCGATCCTGGATCAGGTTTTGTTCAGGAAGAAGAGCCCTTTCCAGAGCATTTGAAAAGACCTGTAATGACTAATAGTTACTGAGGTAATAGTGTTTCTAGTTTATTAGGCCAGTAAGTCCTTACAATGGTTGGGTAGCCCATAAGAAGCACTTGACTCGCGGCGGCAGCTGCTGACATTACCATTATCATACATGATGAGGTAGTTAAGGAGCCCTGACAGCGCACTGGGTTAAGCATCGGACTGCTAACCTCAAGGTGAGTGGTTCGAACCCTCCAGCGGCTGTGCAGGAGGAAGGTGAGGCTGCTATTAAGAGGTAGTTTCAGAAACCCTGTGGGACAGTTCTGCTCTGTCCTATAGGGCCTCTGGGAGGCGGAACTAATGGCAGCGGGTATGCAGTAGTTATGGTGACCCCTGAGATAGGGAAGTGAGTCTCTGTCAGTGACCTCAGGGTTCAGACATTTACACAAGCTCACCAGCCGCTCCTCGCAGACCCTACACAGGGTCACTATGGGTCGGAACCGACTTTACGGTACTTAACAACAACATCAACCCACCAAGATGACTTAGAGCTACAGATGAAACGGATGTTTCTGACCTGCTGCAAGCTGTTTGGAATCAGTCACTGGGCAGACAGGTGAGTTTACCTGGTGAAGGAGTATCGGACAGTCCATGACTCAGGCTGGCCAGTGGCAAGAGGAGAGATGAGGAGTATGGGCACATTCCCTCTTCCACATATTGCCAGAGTAGCAAACTCCTCCTAGAACAAGTGCCTTCAAGGGCTCGGCTGTCAAGGAGCCCAGCAGTGGCCAGGGAGTGGTGGTCACTATTCCTCCACAAACTGTTTACAATCTTGAAGAACTATCTTCCTTCTTAAAAAAAATGTACTGAGGGAAAGGAAAACCCAATGGCATTAAAACACACACACCCACACCCCATAGAATGCCTAAAGACCAGTAGGTCAGAAACCAAAGTCAGCCTATTGTCATCAAGTTGATTCGAACTCATAGCAACACTCTACAGGGTTTCCAAGACTGTACACATTTATAAGAGAAGACCACCTTGTCTTTCTCCCTCGGAGCAGCTGGTGGATTTGAACAGCCGACTTGGTTAGCAGCCCAATGCCTAACCCACTGCACCATTTGCCCCACATTCATGCTTTTGTTCTTGTATTTGTATCGCATGCTAAAATACTGAATAAAAGTTCTTATTTTCGGTACTATGTGTTTTATCCACATAGAAATTCCTGATTGATACGAATTTGACAGGGACCTTTTTATTGGACCCAGATGCGTCCTAGACCTGGTGTTCTCCGGAAGACCTTTCTTGGCCCCTGGTGTGGACTGGGTGTCCTCCTATAATGCCCTGTACTTGTCCCTGTCACAGTAATAGCAGACATGTGCATTCCCATCCTAGTGCTGGATGGACACAGATGTTGTCAGGTACCATTGAGTCAGCTCTGACCCACAGCGACCCTGTGTGCACGAGAACGAAACACTGTCGGTCCTGCATCATCCTCACATTTGTCGCTGTGTTTGAGCCCAGTCTGTGTTAATACGCAGTTACTGTATTGATCCATCTGGTTGTACACCTTCCGCTTTTATCGCTGGTCCTCTTCTTGACTGAGCCTTACGGTACCCTCACATGAGGTTCAGAGCGTCTGTCGAATCTCTTCAGTGTCTATCTGCGAAGTGTGGCCCGTTTCAACCCCTGACAATGGGCTCCACCCACAGCCAGATTCATACACTTATTTCCATCACCTGAAATGCACCCGGTTTAAACTAACTACCTCATCACATTGAGATTCTCCTTACGTTTGGTTATCATTTTATACCCTTGTTGCCATTTGAGAGAACTCACGCAGCTCTGGTACAGGAGAAGAGAAATTCGGGAGATGTTATCATTCCTGAGCTAACAATCCTGCCTATTCTCAGTTACTGAGGAATCCTGGGGTGGTGCTATAGAATAAGTACTGGACTGCTAACTGCAAGGTCGGTGGTTCAGACTCATCATCTGTTATTTGGAGATCTTATACAGGGTCGTTAAGAGTTGGAACTGTCTTGAAAGCACTTAATAATAACAACAACAAGATATCTAAAGAGCAAACAATTGTGTGTTGGAAGAACTACAGCCAGGATGCTCTTTAGAAGCGAGAATGGCGAAAATTTGTCTCTCATACTTTGGACATATATATTATCAGGAGAGAACAATCCTTTCTAACAAAGTGGAAGGTCAGAGATAAAGAGGAAGACCCCCAACAAGACAGATTGACACAAGTATGAGTGGGCTCAATTGTTACAACAATGCAAGGATGGCACACGACCAGACAGTGTTTTGTTCTATTGTGCATAGGGTCGCTATGAGTTGGAA